CCCGTCAGGCCTGTCCGAGGCCTGCTTAGAGGCATAAAATCTTGTTTCTTCACTCGAGGTGACCCCTACAGTATGATTATCGGTATGCAAATCATGTTCTGGACTCAGGTCAGCTGCTCCCAGAAACTCTGTGTGCAGCAGCTTCATATCATCGGTTTACTGAACTTTATGACAGCATACAGGCTATTGTTAAGTGTGTTGGGTGACAATATTGTTACAGTAAATTTACGTATATTACAATCAAAAAGCTGCCACAAATATATTTTCAAACTATTTATAGGCAAATTTAGTCTAATACTGTAAATGACAACTTGGATTAAATAAGAAATATGAAACAAAAAAGTGTATACAACAGTTTTTTATAGATTTTTTAGACAAAAAAATTCACAATATATTGCCTTGCTCACAGTATCGCAATATATTGTGATATAACGTACCGTGACCCCTCTGTCATGATATGTATCGTATCGCCAAATTCTTGCTGATACACAGCCCTAGTTATTTTCACATTGTCTCTTTTTTCCATTTTGTATTGCAAACTTGTATCATTTGTAAAAAACAAAAAAGGTAGAAGAAGTCTTGGACAACAAATGGAAAAGATGACAGACAGTTTGAGCTGCATTTCATGAAAAACAATAGTATACAGAACCAGGGTTGCCAAAGCCCTCTGGCATGGCACAATATTATATACAGTAATATTTAGTAAAAAATTATGTGAGTTTTACAAGAAGCTGAAAAGTAATGAGAGAGAAAGACTAGTAATCAGAATTAGTAATGAGAACATGACAGGTTTAGCACAGGTTGAACCACTGGGAGGTAAAGTTAGAGGGACCAGACTCTGAAGATGGTTTGGACATGTCCAGAGGAGGGACAGTGGGTATATTTGTATAAATATGTTGAGCAGAGGACATATTGTGTATGGATGCAGTTAGAGAGAACATGGAGGTAGTTGGCGTGAGGACAAAGGAGGCCAGAGTGGACAAGGACAATGACTCACTGTAGAGACCCCTGAAGAAGGAATGGCCGTAAGGAGGAGGGAAAGTTGCATTTAATGAAAATGTACCCACAGATGGTAATTTTGGTCACCATCTAAAAATGAAAAGATGCTAATAATGTTTTAGCCTGCGTGTTTGTACTACAGTTAAAACTTGTGACTTTGAATAAAACCTTTAGAAAGTAATGACTGGAATCACACATCTAATGGTTGAAAACAAATTAAAAAATGATAAATGTGAGCAATGTCAAGTCTTGGAGGCAAGGAGAACCCAAAATGCAGGCAGGCAGACCAAACTTAAAGCAATAACAAGACTTTAAGAAAAAGGCCAACGTGGTGGCAAAATTAAAAAAACAATAAATCTAATCTCAGCTCCATCACGATGAAGTGCTTCACTTTGTGTTGTGTCAAGCAGCTTTTCATACTTTTGGCCACAGGATGAAGCCAAAGAGAACTGTGTTGGAAAGCTTCGAGTAATGAACCCTTTTTCAAATCAAGCTTCAGTGCTTCAGAAAAGCTTCATTTGCCCATCACTAATAACAAGACTTTAAGAAAAAGGCCAACGTGGTGGCAAAATAAAAACAATAAATCTAAACTTGGAACTAGAACATGTGGTGTGGACAAACATGGATAAGGCAATGTTCAGAAGCTGAAGTGATGAAGAGAAGATCCTTAAATACAAACAGGGCTGAGTGGAAGTAGAAAACAGCTGGGTGATTACAATCGAGGACAGGTGAGTGTGGCAGGTTGGAAAAACACTTAAGAAGCTGACTGAGGTAAAAATGGCACAGGAAACTGAAAACAGGAAATRAGAAAATAAGACAATACCAAACAATGAAAAACAGTCTGGAAAATACTAACAAAAATACCCATWACACAAGAACCATGACATGCAGGTTACATTGTAWATACAACTCCTGTAGACACGAGCCTCTTATTGCAATATTGTACTATTAATTGTAYATCTTCCAGAAAAACCTGAGTGCTCTCAGTTTAAAAACCAAGTCCAGATTAGGTCTGCCAGAGTTGGTCCATGCACTACATAAACAAACAGCCCTAAATTAATAAAAATATAAGGCATTTTCATCTCCTGAACAAAATTTTAATTTCATTTGTCTAATATTTTTAAGGTTACTGATCAGGAAAATGTTCAGGAGAGTAAAGGCAGAAGAAATGTTTAAAAGAAAACTTTTTTTTGTTAATCCATGATTCAATGACCAATGAAAACAAACTAGGCTCTTAGTCATATCACATGGCTCCAGACTTATGCATACAGATGTTTAATATAAACACACCAGATGGATTTAGAGCTCATTTTCTAGCTCCTTCAGCTGGAGTATGAAGTAATTTGTAAAAGGATTTGAAGTTTGTCTGTCCTCGGAGCTTTCATCTTACAGCTATCATTGTGTAAGTACAACAGTGTCTCATTCTTTATGTTCTTTAACATTAATGCTTCTTGTATGTCTCTGCATGTTGATGGGTTAAAATTTAATTTAGTATCTTGAAAGGTGGATAAAAACTAATTTGCTCTAATTTCTGTTAAAATAATTATGCATGTATTAGTTTCTTTTCTCTTTCCACCCAGCACTTTTTTTT